TCCGAATTAGAGGATTACCAAGGACAATTATCCAAGCTCATGCAGAATGTCTCAGTTTTGTAATATCAGGTAGCTTTTGAGGCACTCTCCAATAAGGTCCATGGCTTATCTGAATCCTTTTTACTCAGTTGTTTTGTATAGGATAGAAACCTATTATTCAACAAGAAGTTGCTACAATTTCAACCTTCTTCAATGACTCGTGCAATCTCTTTGGCTAAAAAATGCCCAAGAAGCAAAGTTGTCCCTGGAAAGAGGTCACCCACCCCAGAACGAAGAGACAAAAATCTTTGTTTTACTTGTGGTGATAAATACTTCTTTAGTCATAAGTGTAAAGCCTCTGTCCACATTTTGATTGTACCGGATGAAGAATTCTCCTACTCTTCTGATGATATCATACCAGAAGACAACAATTCCATGATGAGCACTCCTCCTTATTGCCCTGAATCAGCGACACGACAAATTAGCCTTCATGCCCTGTCAGGCATTATGGTCCCTCAAACACTTAGATTCAATAGCAATATTGGCAAATCCGAAATGAGTTTGTTGGTGGATGGTGGCAGCACACACAATTTCTTACAACCAAAAGTGGTAGCAGCTCTCAACTTACCTATGTCTTTTGATCAGCATTTTGATGTCATGGTTGGGAATGGTCAGACTCTCAAATGTGAAGGATTTTGTCAAGCTGTACCTGTTCAAATACAACAGCACATTTTCCTAGTGGACTTCTATGTTCTCCCAATTCAAGGTGTTGACATGGTCTTGGGTGTCCAATGGCTCCAAATTCTGGGTCCAGTGGTGCTCAATTATAGCAAACTTACTATGGAGTTTGTTTGGGCAGGACAGTCAATCAAGTTACAAGGAGATAAGCATGCAGGTCCTATATCTTTGAATCAGTTTCGAAGATTACAACATCATGATCAGGTTGCCTCTATGTTTCAACTCACACTGTTGGATTCGGTTACAATAGATCCACCACCTGCACACTGTCCTAAAGTTACACTCTTACTTTCTGAATTTGAGGGGTTATTCAAGGAGCCTACAACACTCCAACCTCACAGGCTGTTAGATCATGAGATTCACCTACAACCACATGCTTCTCCAATTAATGTGAGGCCCTATAAATACCCACACTATCAAAAGGTTGAGATTGAAAAATAGGTACAACACATGCTTGATTCTGGTTTCATAAGGCTCAGTACCAGTCCTTTCTCTTCTCCTGTACTTCTAGTTAAAAAAAAGATGGGACTTGGCGCTTTTGCATTGACTACAGAGCTTTAAATAACATCACCATCAAAGACCGCTTTCCAATTCCAACCACGGATGAGTTGATGGATGAGTTAGGTGGCTCACAGTACTTCTCCAAGTTGGATTTGCGGGCTGGTTATCACCAACTTCGGGTTCATCCTCATGATGTGCACAAGACAGCTTTCCGTACGCATCAAGGTCACTATGAGTTTTTGGTAATGCCTTTTGGCTTAACCAATGCTCCATCTACATTTCAAGCAACTATGAATCTTATTTTGCAACCTTATCTTCGAAAATTTGTGGTTGTTTTCTTTGATGATATTTTAATATACAGTCCCACAATAGAGCTTCACTTGCAACAGCTCCGAATTGTCCTTTCTACTCTACAACAACATCAGTTCTTTATCAAAAGGAGTAAGTGTTCCTTTGCACAAAAGGAGGTGGATTATCTAGGTCATGTGGTATCTGCAGATGGCATAAGGATGGATCATACCAAAATCCAGGTTATGCTAGATTGGCCTATTCCAAATAACCTTAAGGAACTTAGAGGTTTTTTTAGGATTAATGGGCTAGTATAGAAGATTCATTCGTAATTATGCAGCTATTGCCACATCCCTCACCGAACTGTTAAAAAGGGATTCCTTCCTTTGGAGTATTGCAGCTCAACAAGCTTTTGACAATCTTAAAGTGGCCATGACAACAGCACCTGTCTTAGTTTTTCCTGATTTCACTCAAGACTTTACTGTTGAAACAGATGCTTCTGACTTAGCAGTGGGTGCAGTCTTGCTTCAACAAGAACATCATATCTCCTATTTCAGTAAGAAATTAGCTTTGAGGATACAGAAGGCCTCTACATACGTTAGGGAGCTCTATGCCATTATAGAGGCTGTAAAGAAATGGAGGCAATACTTGTTAGGCAGGAGATTTCTCATAAGAACTGATCAGAAAAGCTTGAGGAGTCTTTTAGATCAAGTGATACAGACACCTGAACAACAGTATTACTTGACCAAGCTCTTGGGGTTTGAGTATTCCATTGTATATAAGCCTGGTAAGGAGAATCAAGCTGCAGATGCTTTATCTTGATGCCCTGCTCTCATGTCTTTAATGGCAGCTGCCACTGTTCAGGTTGAATTGTTGGAGACCTTAAGACAAGAGAATCTGTCTTCACCCTTCTTTCAACAGCTATATCAACACATTACTGCTGATCCTACTACTGCTTTGCACTATAAGGTACATGATGGTTTGCTGTTTTATAAAGGGAAGCTCTTATTAGATCCTTCTTCTCCTTTAGTTCATCTAGTGTTACAAGAGAGTCACTCCACTTTCATGAGCGGTCACACATGGATTCAGAAAACATTGGCCAGAGTATCTGCCAGTTTCTTTTGGCCCAATTGGCACGCTGCTGTCAAGAATTTTGTTCACTCTTGCTTAGTCTGTCAACAAGTTAAATACCAGACCCAAGCACCTGCGGGTTTGCTCTAACCAATTCCCATTCCTATCAACATTTGGGAGGATTTATCAATGGACTTTATAGTGAGCTTACCAGTTTCACATGGTTTTACCACTATTCTTGTGGGTTTTGACCGTTTATCCAAGCAAGCACACTTTGGTCCTTTACCACAGAAATACACAGCAACTACAGTGGCCAATCTTTTTGCCATTATGGTATGTAAACTCCATGGCCTTCCCAAATCAATTATCACTGACAGAGATTCTATCTTTCTTAGCCGATTTTGGGTCGAATTATTTGAGCAAAGTGGCACACAATTGAGGAGAACTACAGCCTACCATCCTCAATCGAATGGCCAATCCGAAGTTGTTAATCGAGTCTTAGAACAGTATTTACGTTGCTTTGTTGCAGATTTTCCTAAGAGGTGGTCAAAGATATTACATTGGGCTGAGTATTGCTATAATACATCATACCATTCTTCAGCTGGAATGACACCCTTCAAGGCTGTTTTTGGTCGAGATCCACCCCTATTCTCAACTATGTTTCTTCTTCTACCAGCTTAGCAGAAGTTGACACTACTCTACTGGATAGATAGGCTATTTTACAACAGTTGCAAGAGAATTTACTTAAGGCTCAGAAGTCTATGAAAGCAAGTGTTGATCGCAAGAGAAGAGAGGCTCACTTCAATGTTGGAGACTTAGTTTGGGTCCACCTACAACCCTACCGACAATCCTCACTAGCAGAAAGGGTGAACAACAAATTGTGCAAAAGGTATTTTGGTCCATTTGCAATACTTAAACGAATTGGTCAGGTTGCCTATAAATTGGACTTACCACTACATGCGAAGATACACCATACATTTCATGTTTCCCTTCTCAAACCATACAAAGGAGACAACACTATCACCTCTTTTCCGTTGCCAGAAGTTTTCACTAATGGTCTACCTGTATTAGAACCACAAGCAATTGTTGACAGTAGAAGGATTGCAGTGGGTGACCAACAACAAGTGGAGCTTAAGGTACGTTGGCATGGAGTACCTCAGGAAGTAGAAACTTGGGAGGACTTCAACGACTTTCGCAGACAGTATCCACATTTTAACCTTGAGGACAAGGTTAGTTTTAATGGGGTGGGTATTAATATGAATGAAACACGAAGACTAGAGGAAGAACAAGCAGCTGAGAGTGGAATTGAAGGACAACAGACAAATGAGAAGGAAATGAATGCAGCTACTACTAGTCTTGCTGAAGGCAGAGCAAGAAGAGAAATAAGAAGGCCCAAAAGGTTCACATGTGACTAAGTGTATTCGGTGGGGGTAAGCTAGTAATTGCTAGGAAAGGTAGTTAGGGGAGTACACGTGTAGTCGTAACAGACTATCAGAAATAGGAGATGTATAAATTAGATTGGTGTAACCCAGATAGGTATTGAATCATATTGTCTTGAATAAACTCTCTTTTTCTCATCCCTGATTCTCGAATTCTCTTTCTTCTTCCTTTCTTCTTTAACTGTGCAAGAGATAGGTTTTCCCTATCAGAATACATCTTAGAAATTAAGTATTTAAAGTTCTTTACATTATTATTATTTGATTCAAATTGCTTTTGTAATATTTGACATGAATTTGGTAACATTGAGAAATCCTATGGAATGATATTACAGATGTTGAGAATTATTGTAACTTTATGGCTGATTATTCGAGAAGCATTGCAACATTGAAGAAATGATTTATAAAATTGTGATACGTTGATTATTGTTTTGTCTTCTGAAATTTATATGTTATGGTTATGTTTTGAAATTGGTTTTAAGATATGAATTTTTTTAGAACACCATAAGCTAACAGTAATAGGTATTAGTCTTGATGCACCATGATTTATTTATGGGCTTCGGAATCTAACATTATGATCAAACTATATTATAAGAGGGGAGCTTGGAATTGAGATGTTGCAAATATTATTTTAATAAAGTTTGTATACTCACACTTGAACACAATTTTCTTTATGATGCAACCTCCATTCATGCGTTGCTCCCTGGCAATCTTTCCACATTCGCACCGTGATTTCTTCGAACTCCATCCTCTTAATTTCTTTCCCTGCTTCTGATTTATTATTGGCACTTCCGATTTTGACATTTCAAAATTTGGGCACAAGACATACTTGAGATTCTGAGATTCATGTACCAAATAAAATAAAAGAACAGAAAAATATTTCTGCTGCATTTACTTCTAAAATAATATCGTTTTGAGATTGAAAGATTAAAATATTATAAATATAAAGACTATAATAATCCTAAAATAAATTAAAATTATAAAAATATCATGATTTCTATCTCAAAATGACATCGTATTAGACATACTACAGATAACTTATCTAACTGCAGAAAAAATGAACCCATAAAAGAATACTGATTAAAACTCTTGATCCTAAGTTCAATTTTGAGATTCATGTACCAAATAAAAGAATACTTGATTAAAATCATAACCGCAGTTCCAACCTTAATTCTATATAAATCTAAAAAATAAACCGTAAACCTTTAAATTTACAAATTTAAAAATTCAAATATATAATTATGTTTTCAAACAAGATTGCCTCCATTGCACGGTAAAGTTATTAATTGTTTTATTTGAAAATTTTAAAAATGTAACTGGTCATTTCTCCAAATTTCATCATTAAGCGACATTAATTAAAAACATTCAACCATGATTAATGAAAACATAAATAAAAGTTCAGCGTTATAATAAAAAAAACCAATATATTTTCTCTTTTTTTTGAAATTCAAATGTTTGACCACCCCATGGATCCAATCAAATAAATCGCAGACTATTGCAGTCCATAGATTACATCCTCCAAAATTCGCCACGTCATCAATACTCAATCCTTGATGACGTGTCACTATCTGATTCGATTGTGAACCCCAAGAAAACGGCTCCTCCCGTTACGTTTCCCTCCCAAAACCGATTTCGATTCTCACACTTTGCTCGTTGCTACTCTCAAAAACCCCTCTCTTCTTCATTCTTCAAATCGCATTTCAATTTCAAAAACCCTAAAGAAAAAAAAAAAATCCCCAATTTGCCTTCTTTGTGTTGAGCCTGAATTTCTCGTGATCAGGTCTGTTTTCTTTGGCATTTTTTCAATTCAGCCCCGTTTGGTTTCTGAGAAAACGAAGGAAAAAAGAGAGGAAAGAAAAACACAAAATTATTTGTTTTGAACATTCTGAATTCAGCAACCAATCGGTAATCAATAGTTGGTGAAGTTGAAAAGCCAGAGGAACAATAGGATTTTGAGCATTTTCAAATTCATTGAAAAATTTGAATATTTTCAAGCATGGTTGAGTAGAGAGTTATCTCATGTTTTATTTTTGTTGCCTTCCCCAGAATTCTAAGCTTAGATTTAATGGAAGCTGTTAATGTTTGATTATGTTTATGTTTCACATTTCCTAATCATGCTTTTTTATTATTATTATTATTATTTATAAATTTTCAGCATACTTGTTTGCTATGTTTAGCAACAGTAGCAATAAGCTTCCTCATCAAGAAACAGCATGTGATTTGTTACTACAAGAGCTTCAGGTTCTCAACCATATCTAAGTTGTGAAGATTCTCTTTTTGCTTATGTTCTCTTCCTTTTAACACTAACATTGTTTATTTTCGGTATGTTTGATCCTTATGTGTTGAATGTCAGATAATATGGGATGAAATTGGAGAGTCTGATTCACAGAAGGATGCAATGTTGCTCGAAATAGAACGGAAGTGTCTGGAGTTTTATAGAAAACAAGTGGATGAAGCCAAACAGTATAAAGAACAAATTCAGCAAGAAATTGATGATTATGAAGCAGAAATTGCTAGCATCTGTGCGGCAATGGGTGAACAACCACTACATGTAAGTCTCGTTGGCACTCCAGAATTGAGTTTATGATTTAGCCGTTTTATAGGTCACAGGGAAATTTAACAATTGACAAACTTCTATTGGTGTGTCCTCAGATTGAGCCAAAGTCTTGTGGCAGCTTGAAGAAAGGACGTGAAACCGTTGTATCACAACTTGATGAGATGCACAAGCTGAAAACTGAAAGGAAGAAACAGTTCTTAGAAGTCTTACATCAGTTGCAAAATATTTCATGTGAGCTCTATGGCTCTGTGGGGGTTAGTGCATATTTTGATGAGAACAACTTGTCTTTGAAAAGATTAGAAGAATTACAGAAGCAGTTACTTCAATTTCAAAATGAAAAGGTGATTTGACCTTAATCCTATATTATTTGTTGGGTGTCTGAACTTTTGATAGACAGAAATTGGATATTGTCCCTGTGCTCAGTAATGATGCAATGCAGTTCATGCTTTGAGTAGATTTAGATGAAAGAATGATCATTTTTTTTCTTCCAAACATATTCTTGCCCTAAGAAAGAATAACTTTCAAATGTTAATTTCTCAGCGTTTTTTTATTTAAATTGCCGCAGGCCAGTCGACTGAAACAGGTAGCTGACCTCCTGAACACTCTTAATTCATTGTGCTTGGTCCTTGGTTTGGATGTCAAAGACAAAATTTGTGAGATTTGCCCCAAAATGGTTAATGCCACTGAAACAAGAGATGTAAGTGACCACACAGTAAAGAATTTGAGTTCTGAAGTACAAAGGTTGAGAGAGGTTAAAATACAGAGAATGCAAAAGGTCAGTATTCTTGCTCTTATCCTTCATCCTGCCAAAAACTAGTTTTATTTCCGGTAGCCTTTCTCACTTTTCATGCTGTATCAGCTTCAAAGTCTTGCAACTGAACTATTAGAGATGTGGAATTTGATGGATACACCACTTGAGGAACAGCAGGAATTTCACAACATAACCAGTAATATTGCTGCTTTGGAATCTGAATTTACTGCGCCTAACATGCTCTCAATTGACTTTGTCATCTACGTGAGTTTTAATCTTTGACTAAAATTCTTGGTTCGATGTACTAAAAAAAGAAAAAAAATTCTTGGTTCGGTTCTTCCTTATCACCTAAAATAAATTGGCTCCAATTTTATTGTAGTTTTTACCGTTTATTGTAGTTTTCACTATTTATTGTGTTACTAACTGAATGGGTTTTTCTCTTTGAAGGTTGAGCGAGAAGTTAGAAGGCTTCAACAACTTAAATCAGCCAAAATGAAAGAACTTTTACTGAGAAAGAAGTTGGAGTTAGACGAAATATGCAGAAGTACACGTCTAACAACACAAATAGTTTTTTCAAGTGAACATCCAAATGAGTTTTTAGAATCTGGTAAGATTTTGGATAGGTTTTTAATTTAAAGATTGCTGGTATTTATATCATTCTTCATTTATTGCATAAGGATTCCTCAGTTCGTACAATTTTACTTTAAAGCCTTTACGGATATATGTCAAGTAACCAAGACATAGACTGCTTACAAGATTCACCTGGGGATGAGTAATCATGAACAGAAGAACAAAGATATGGCGATTAATTTAAATTTCTTCCTTTTTATCATCTGCTTTTCCCAGGACTACTGTAAATTTTTTTGTTTCTTAATTCTTTACTAGTTTGTTATTGTTTATCAATATGTGCCATGAATCTCATTATTTTTCCTCTCATGCATTTTGAAAATCATTCTGCAGAGTCTGTAAGCCATGAAAACCTGTTAGAACAAATTGAGCACCAAATTACAAAGACAAAAGAAGAAGCTCTTAGCAGGAAAGAAATCCTTGAAAAGGTTGACAAATGGCTGGCTGCTAGTCAAGAAGAAAGCTGGCTGGAGGAGTACAACAGGGTGGGGCACTGTTGTTATTGACAATAATGGATACCTCCTCCTTTTGTTTTTGTTTTGCTTTTTATTTTATTTACTGTGGGTTTTTAGGATGATAATCGTTATAATGCTGGAAGAGGTGCGCATCTTGTCTTGAAACGTGCTGAGAAGGCCCGCGCTTTATTAAGCAAAATTCCTGGTGAGTGCCCCTCTGCACATCATAATTATTTCTTCAAATACGTTGCTATCATTTTGCAGTAGCTTCTGCAATTAGGTTCTAGTTTTCCAATATGCTAGATTTGGACTAAATGTTGACATGTTACATGTTGAAGTCAGCTTATTAATTGTATGCGGTTGTTTGTATATTTTTAACTTTGTTATTCACTTATTCTTAGAGTATTGCTTTAACAAAGGAGGACGATGCAACAAAAGTAGTTTAATTTATAGTGTCTGAATTATGGGCTTCGTCCTCATTCCCCCCTTTCTTTTTGTATGTTATTGAAACAGGGATGGTAGAGGAAATGATTTCTAAAGTTACAGCATGGGAAAATGAAAGAGGACTCGAGTTTTTGTATGAAGGAGTAAGTATTTTTAGGACAACCATTTATCCAACTTTTATGAATTAGCCTGCTACATGTTATGTAATATTTCTGAGGTAGACTTCTCTGGGAATATAATTTTCAAAGTATAGCATTTGGCATATGAATTCCTTATCTTTTACTGGATACATCTCATATCTTTTCACGTATGTTTATTTTCATGGATGTGTTAAGAGCCGGCTACTTTCCATGCTTGAAGATTACAGCACCTTAAGGCAGGAGAAAGAGAATGAAAGGCAAAGACACAGGGTATGAAGTAGTACATTATTGTATCTAAATATGTAATAGTTGGTGCAGATTTTTCTTCGAGACATTTTACTTGTTTGTACTCATTATCTATAATTGAATTGTTTTTGTTTCATATCTATTTTAGGATCAAAAGAAACTTCAGGGACAACTGATGGCAGAGCATGAAGTACTTTTCGGCTCAAAACCCAGCCCGTCTATAAGTGGAAAAAAGGCGTCCAGATGTTCGATAGGAGTTCCAAGTATCAGAAAATTTTCCGTTGGTGGAGCAATGCTTCAGGGTCCAAGACAAGCTGCTCTTATTGAGCAATCTAATAAAAAGGGTAACTTAACCAATCAGAAAGGCTCTATCCTTCGCAACAAGAATGCTTGCCCTTCAACTCAATCCTCAGGTATTTAAATTTTTCTTGTACAGTGCCTGTCAATGGATACTTTTTGAAAGTTTAAATGCTTATTATCAATGGAAACCTGTGCAGGAAAGGATACCTCTAAAGTTATTGGTCACTCAGTAAAGAATACTGCGTACAGTGCAGAAAAGGAATTTGAAAATCAGTCACCAGTGACTGAGAAGCCCCTCTCTCCTGTTTCTTCCACAGTCATGTCTAAAGCCAACATAACAACTTTTCAAGAAGACCATAGTAAAATACAGAATGTACCAACACAATCAATACAGCAACAAGTTCAAACGCTAACAGGAACTCCACCTTCTAAGCCATTTATTGCTGGCGATGAAGAAAACAGGACCCCCAAGAATATGGGACTCCCAGTGCCTACAACTCCTCTAACTTCAGTCTTTATGTTGACTGCCACTACACCAGACGGTCCAGACACGCTTAGTGTATATCCTGGTTCTACAGTTGCTACAAAGAGTGCTCAACTATTTGAGTATTCATTTGAGGAGATGAGAGCTGGTTTTATCCTACCTAAAAACTATGCTCAATGATTCACACTTTGGAGAGGAAGTTCAATCAACACAAGATAGCTGCTGGCTTGCTGACATATTCTCTGCGTATTTTGGGACTTTATTGGGCAAGTGTATTTTGGAAAATAGATTCTCTTCGTATTAAAATTTCACATGATCAAGTGATATAAAAATTTTGCATCTCTCTCTTTAAAATTGTTTACATGAAGTGAAATTCTAATGTTACAGGATCTACTCCCGTATTTTGGTTGGAAATTGTCTAACGTTAAAGCATATTAAGACTTTGATTTAATCCAAAATACCATGTGAAAGAGGGTTCTTTTCTTTGGGCCACATGGATTATGGATTAAGCGATTCTTATATGATTTATTTTGCTTCACTGAAATGAACTCAGAGTCTGTTTGGTTCGGCTTTTTTTTTCTTTAAAAATTGTATTTTTTAAGAAAAAAAAAACACGTCTCAAAAAAAATCTGTTTAGATGTCAGCTTTAAAAAAAAGCAGAAGTCATAAAAAAAGCCAAAAATCTATTTTTTTCATAAGCTAAAAATTTTAACTTTTAAAAAAAGCAGAAGTCAAAAGTCAAATATTTTTTTCAAAAATCAAATATTTTTAAAAAAATCTAAATAGCTGTAATTTTTATAGAAAATACTTTTAAAATAAGGAAGTGATAAAAAAAACTTTCTTAAAAATCTAAATAGCTGTTCTTGTTATGAACTTTTAGAAAAATAATTATTTTATGTTGTAGAAACAAAATTATAAGTAAGATTCACAAATAAAAAGAGAAAGAAAAAAAGAGATGAGAACCACCGCGTGTATAAAAATTTTATTTTTTATGTAAAATGTGATAAATATAGTCCTTATTATATTCATTCTTCATTTTTTTTTTTTGGTACATTGCCAGGAGGTATCCCCATTCAATCTTCTCCGGGCACCATGCCCTCGAGGTACGGCCCGTTTGGGCTAGCCCCTCATTGTAACAGTGGGTGCACTAAGCTTCGCAACCGGAGAAAGGACGAGACTAATCCTTCAACCGAAGATTTTTGGCTTATCCTCTGGCCCCCAAAGATTTTTCAAGAAACTGCTTGAGGCAGGGTTTGATCCCTGCACCAAACAATCCCTTGCTTCGTGTTACATGATATAAGAACATTTTCTTACACACACAATTAAGAGGTGGGTCCACATGTTTAAAATATGAAAAAAGTTTTATTAGTTGAGATAAAATTCAGTTCGATGATTTCTATATCATAAAAAAATTAATCTTCAATGGGAAATAATATAAAGAAACTCAAAAAAATATTTTAATATGGATGGATAAGTGACTCGGGTGACCCAATCTTATCGCTTTATTGACATGATCATAGGTTTGGATTTTCTGTCGTATAAAGTCGTTTCTCATCTTCAGGCTTGTCGGCTGATTGTACATATTATTATATAAAAATGTAATTATTATTATATATACACAATTTGAAAAAGAGTTTTATTACTATCATGTTACATGATATAAGAACATTTTCTTACACACACAATTAAGAGGTGGGGTTCACATATTTTTTTTTCTCTTTCATCATTTCACCTTCTCTCTTCTTTATTGTGAGGGTAGAAAAATGTTCTTATATCATGTAACATTATAATAATAAAACCGTTGAAAGAATTTTTTTAAAAGAAGTATAATTATATTTTATATTTTAATTTATAGTATACAATTTTTTTGAAAAATATAAGTTTCACCCTTCAGTTATCTTACCATTTAAAAATTATTTTGAAATATTTAAATGTTAACATCAAATTATACAATAACCCTTCTTAAGTTATGTCTGAATTTGAAATTGTCTGTGGGTCCACTCTAATCATGCTGTGTTCTGATCTGACTAACAGAGCATGTGCACTGCAACCACCTGAGAGAAGAGATAAAGAGACCAAGTCTAACCTCTAAGGGTGTATTTGGTACAGGAGAAATTTTTTGGTGATCGGGAATCATGATTAATGGGAATTCAGTAGAAATTGAGTTTACTTAGAATCTTACGAAAGATGTGTTTGGTTCGCCAAAATATTACCGGGAATATTGGGTAAAAATTACTGATTTCATATTTGGTTTAGAACGAAATATGACTTGGAATATGAGGTTATTTTACAAAAATAACCCCAAACTATTTTTACTTTTGTAATTGATAGATTGGGTCTAGATTTTTATGTGTATTGGGGTATTTTTGTCTCAAAATTTATTGTTGTGCTTTCCTTTCACTTGGTATTCTGATTGGTATTCCGAATTACCATATTATTTTTGGTAATCTGAATAGTGACTTTTCTTTATAAATCAAATTACCGGTAATCCTTGGATATTCGGGAATCGTAATCTATTCCTTCTACCAAACGTGGTAATTACATTTACCAAAGAAAAATTACCGATAATCCTCTCCAAAAACTTGAATCAAACACCCTAAGGGTGGGTGACTAAAAGCCAAAGCAACCTAGGACAAATGGAACTGCTTGTGGCTGAATCCAAATCCCAGTAGGTCTCATGGGTGTCTTACAAGTGGCAGAAGAACATATGACCTTGGACAGCACATGAATAATCTATAGAGCCAAGTGACTCGCTTATTATACTGGTTGTCAAGTTGCCAATTTTATATTATACAATATGCAGGTTGTGTTTAGCAAGATGACATAAACATAAGCTCCATATTTGGTGTAATCACATTATATGAATAATCTGTCAGGCTTAAAATGTATCACTTATTATATAGGTTGATAGAATACGAATAACATATAACAGGATACGAATAATGTATAACAAGATTAGATTAAAGCATCATTTTAAAATTTTTATGCAAAAAAATTGTCCAGTTAAAATTAATTGGATAAATTTTTTCAAATTAATATATGTCATTTATACTGACGGGACTTGTCTCGTCCATGATACTGATGGGACTCGTGTCACATCAGCACCATGAAGGCAGTCCCGTTATCACAAAATTTTGGAAGACTGTAATTTTTGACTCGGATATCTAAATCAGATCATTTTTTTTTAATTTCACATAACTTTTCGAGATCTACACAATGACACCTCATTTGACATATTTTATCTCCCACAAACATAGTTTAAATTTGTAACAATTGTACCACAATCATAAGAGCGTTTAAATCCAGAAGATGGCACATGCGGCGGCTCGTAGTGTTGGTTCAGAAAGAAATCAAGATCTTCTGGATTTAAATGATCTTGTAATTGTGGAATTATTGTTGCAAACTCAAACTATGTTTGTGGGAGATAAAATATGTCAAATGAGATGTCATTGCGTAGATCTCGAAAAGTTATGTGAAATTAAAAAACATCATCTGATTTGGATAACCGTAGGGATGTGCATGGGTCTAACCAAATCGGATTTTTTGAAAAACCGAACCGAATTGGTTCAAAACTGGTTCGGTTCGGAAGTGGTTCGGTTCGGTTCAAAACTGGTTCGGTTCGGAAGTGGTTCAGTTCGGGTCGACCTTCTCTTGAAAAGAAAAAAAATTAAAATTTGGAAAATAAAGTTATAAAAATCAATTTGGTTCGGTTTGAAAACGGTTCAGTTCTGTTCGGAAACGGTTCGGTTCGGTTCTGTAACACCCCGTGTATACCCGGTTTGTTATCATATCATCGTATTAAGCAGCGCTTAATTAAAATGCAGAACTAACTTTTTACTTTCAATTATGACGTCATTATTATTAGCCAAGTTGAATACTTAAATCATTTTCAAAACATTTCCTGTGTGTAAATTGCAAATAGACAGCTATCTACACTGAATAACCTCGTAATATAAATAAGTGTGTATCTAAATCACGGAACTACAACATGTAGTCTGGACCGTGTCCTGATACAATTATACTACTCAAATCTAATTTAGCATAGTCAAATCAATGTGGCATGGACAACCCTCATGCTCACCAAATAAGGCAACAAAGCCCAACAAAGTCTCAAATCAAATAACACGATAATAAATATAGAACATGTCAGCATCCAAGCATATCATCATAAAAGCGTAAATCTCAACTCAGCTCCGGCCTCCTGCCGCCCGAGGTATTAACCCCCAGTTACCTGAACCTGAAAATATGCCCCAAACGTGGGGTGAGATCTCTAAACAGAAATCTCAGTAAGGCAAGGGGTCCTCAAAGATCTCTTCACTCCAAGCTCACTTACATGTGCAATATAAGTTCTAAAAGCAGTAAAACAGTATAAGTTCCAAAATCAGTGCAATGCAGCAGATAATCATGTCATGTGTGTCAAAATATCCTACTGGCCAGAGAAATGCATGAATTACATACGTCTATAACCTACAATCAATGCAAGACACCACTTGCACCCACCTACAGAATCACCATATCGTATGACGTCACATACTCAGGCTTACCATCTAGGTGGAACAACACATGCATATCATAAGGCACTTGCACATAACAGCTCAACAACATTTCAAATATTCAAACATGAAAACCCATCATGCATATAAACCATTCCCCATGGGATATGGTGGAACCAACAATGGCTAAACCGAGGACACGAAAGCTTACCTCTTAAGTAATCAATCCAAACCAAAGTTCACACTAGCTCAAAGTCCACAAACAGCAAAATCACAATCTGTTTTAGACCAACAATCATATCATCATTCATCATCTAATAGTTCAAGACATAACAACAACGTTTTCTTCTTCGTTTAATGTCTTTAGGTTTCTTACAAAGCCATAAGCCCTTAATCACTTTGATTCTGACTTAGATAATTATTACAGAGGTTCAACTTAACCAATCATGGGTCCACAAACCCAAAATTACCATTCTGTCCGAACAGAACAATGACACTCTCGAAATTCTCAGAATATCCGGATATCCATATCTGGATATTTCGCAGTTAAGCATTTTCGCGAATATATCCAACCAATGTTTCATTTTTAACACTTAAATACGTTAAAGCATGCATATTTAAGCAACTTTAGACCAGTGATCATGTTAGCTACTTGAACAACTCATTAAACATTCCAAGACTCCATTT